AACAAACCTCACTGACATTGAGTGGAGGCCGACTCATAGCGACCCTACAGGACAGGATAGAACTGTCCTCTCCTCATGGGTTTCTGAGACTGTAACTCTTTACGGGAGTAGAAAGCCTTGTCTTTCTCCCCCCGGGTGGCCGGTGGTTTTGAACTGATGAGCTTGTGGTCAGCAGCCCAATTTGTCACCACAACACCACGAGGGATCCTTACAGCCAGCAGCAAATCACATCTCCCAGGTCTTTCCGCCGCAGCCCCAGGAGGAGGGACTGGAGGCCCAGAGAGTCCTGGGTTCAGGGTCCAGCTTACGAGCTGTGTGACCTTAGGCCAGTTACTTAGCCTCTCTGTGCTTCCGTTTCCTCCTCTCCAAAGGGCATAGCAATAGCCCCAGCCCCGGCCGCACACTGCAGGTACACACAGGGCAGCACGGCCACCAGCTGTGTGACCTTGTCCAGCTCCTCAACCTCTCTGTTTTCGCTTCCTCGTCTGTAAAATGACGATGAAAACAGGGTGGACCAGACCCAATTCACAATGAAATGTTGGCCAAAAAAAGCAATGGTACGGGCCTTATCATTTGTGTGTGTGTGTGTGTGTGTGTGTGTGTGTGTGATGAACTCCTCACTGCAGGGAATCCAGACGCAGGGACAGGGAACAGGAATGGAGGGAATGAACCCGTTCCTGCGTTGCGAATCCTGTAACCAAGGTCACGGAGCCGCTTGCGTGGAAACTGTTGGACTGAAACCTAAACCGTGTGGTGGATTTTACGGAAGACAACACTCGTTTTCTTTCTTTCTTTTTAACCACAATACACCTTATGCTCCTTGTACAGGAAGAAGCCGTGAGCTGAGCCACCGCATGAAGGGTGCAGGCCCAGGTGTCGGCACGACTCCCTTTCTCATCCACAGACAAAAACATTCCCGGAGGGCTCCCTGTCGGTGTGTACAGAAGGCCTGGTGACGCCGTGGATTCAGTCCTGGGCTTCTGACCAAAGAACTGCTAGCTCAAGTTCACCAGGCACTTCCACGGAGAAGGAAGGACGAGGCTGTGTACTTCCAGAAAGATTTACAGTCCCCGAAGACCTGTGTGTGGGCTGTTGTTCAGGCCTCAGACTCATAACTAGCTGATGTGCAACGGAAGAGACGCTGCCTGGCCTGCCCCGTGCTCACGGTCCTTGCTGCGTTTGAGCCCACTGCTGCCGCCGCTGTGCCGATCCATCTCCTGGAAGCTCTTCTTCTCCACTTCCACTTCACCAAACACGATGTCTCCTTCCAGGGATTAGACTCTCCTGAGCCCTGGAGGCAACGCAAGTTAAGCAACGGGCTGCTAATTAATCACGAAGTCAGCAGTTCGAATCCGCAAGCCACTCCATGGAAGGAATATGTGTAACTCTACTCCTGTCAAGAGTTACAGTCTTGGGGGAGGGAGGGGACAAAAGAGGAGCTGATACCAAGGGCTCAAGTAGAAAGGAAATGTTTTGGCAATGAGGATGGCAACATATGCACAAATGGGCTCGAGACAATTGATGTGTGGATTGTTGTAAGAGATGTAAGAGTCCCCAATAAAAGGATTTATTAAAAAAAAAAAAGAGTTACAGTCTTGGAAACCCACAAGGGCAGTTCTATCTTGTCCTATAGAGCCAGAGTCCGAATCGAATAGATGAGATGAGTTTTTTGGTCTCTCCTGATAACATGTCCACGTAGGTGAGACTTAGTCATACCACTCTGGTCTCTAGCCTCTAAGGAGCACTCTGGCTGTACGTCTTCCAAGACAGACAGATCCACTTGTCCTGTGGGCATCCCGTGCTACCTTCAGCGGTCCTCACAAGCCCCCGCCTTCACATGCTTCCACAGAAGACCTAAAGACCCATCCACTCTGTCCAGAGGGTCGCTATGAGTCAGGATGGACTTGCCAGCAGTGGACTTGGTCACTGGTTGGGACTTCCGTGAACTCACAGGCAGGAGGGCAAACCTGCGTGTCAGCCACCGGGGCAGGCGAGGGCTGTTCTTTCCCCTCCCCTGTGGGCCATCCCGGCTGCCAGGCCCACCCAAAGGGCATGTTCAGCGTTTGGCTACATCTCACTCTCAGCCGGTGAGTCACAGGCGCCTGGCAGGTCTTTTGTGTTTATTACACAAATAGGATCTTCACGGGCATCAAAACATAAAATACGACTGCAGGACCTTACACACACACATTTTTTAACCATTACAGTGCATGCAACTCAGTGGCCCTTCCCAGGGTTACGCAGGCAGCCAGTCTCTCCGGTCCCCGGCCTTTGGTGGCACTCACTGGGCACGACGTGACACCACACTAGGGGCAGCTTCAGGCTTCTGGGTGTTCAGGCAGGACCCTAGGTGCCCAGCGAGTGTCACTACAGGCAGGGTGATGAGCAGGAGAGCTGTCATCATAGCAGGGTAGGTGGGGGTGGCGGTGACAGAACAAGACACCCCCCCACCGCAGCACCATCCTCACAAGTGTTCTGTCTGAGCCCACTGTTGCAGCCACTGTGTCAGTCCATCTTGCCCAGGGCCTTCCTTTTGCGCTGCCCCACTACTTTACCACATCGATGCCCTTTTCCAGGAAATGGTCTCTCCTGACGACATGTCCAAATGTCCTGAGAGGGAATCTCCCCATCCCATGTGGTGGTGGTGGTAGGGGTTATATATTACAGTCCCCAGGGCTGGAGGAGGAGGGTTCTGGCCTTGCTCCAACCTGGGCCCCATCTTCCGTGGACACCTCATTTTCCTCCAACTCCTTTGTCTTCCCCAAGGCTGGTGAGGTGGGCAGGAGAGGTGCTGAAGGTAGCCAAGAAACCTGCCCTCCAGTCTCTGGACCTCTCTGGGTCTTTGAGACCCCACGCCCTGTCTTGGCTCCCTGTAAGCCTGCCTCATGGAGACACGGAGACGCATGTGGGATGGGGTGGGGGTGGGATAACCAGAAGATTTGGGGAGGAGGGGCAGTGATAAAGAGGGATGAGCAGCCCCATTCCTGAGGAGCTGAGACTTATGAGCAGCCCCTGACCCCTGGGCGTCCTGGGACACTCAAGACTTGGAAGGACCGCCTATTTGCCCAGAGCCTCAGCCAGAGGGATCAGCTTGTTAACAAGGAAGGTTCCTGGGTTTTTCCAGGTCCCCCTGGGAATGTGCATCTTAACACACTCTTGGGGAGTCGGTTCAGACTCACAGTGACCCTCGAGGACAGAGGAGAACTATGAACAGACAAAACCTTTTAAAATTGTGAATGAGGTAAGGGTTTACATAACAGTTCCACCTCTACCCCTGTTTTGCAAAATGTTTTGGCCTCACCCTCTTGTAGGGAGCCCTGGTAGTCAACCATCCAAAATGAGAAAGACGGGGCTGTCTACTTCTCTAAAGAGTGACAGTCTCAGAAACTCGCAGGGGGCAGTTCTGCCCTGTCCTATGGGGTGCTAGGAGTCCACTTCATGGCGCGACTCTCTCCCTCCTCCCCCTCCACCAGGTTCACACCTGTCTACCCTCTGCCCTGTCCAAGGCTGTGATCTCTATGGGAGGAGACTGCTGCATCGTTCTCCGGAGGAGCAGCTGGTGGGTTTGAACTGCTTACCTGCCATGTTTAACCGCTTCACCGCCACCAGGGATCCTCTGGGAAATCTCAGGAGCTGGAAAGCTGGGAGGGATGACCTGCCCCCCACCCTTCCACGTGTCAACATCCCCCTCAGTGGTTGCTTTGTGCCAACTTGATGCCTGTGAGCAGGTGATAACATCCAACCAGGTGGAGGAAGGGGAGTCTGGTCAGTGAGCCTGGGACCCCCCAGCCCCACCTTCAATTCCCTTTTTGGAGCTCCCCAGGAGCCACGGCTGTCCTTTGCTGCCACCGTGTGGCCTAAACAGGAATGTGCAGCCCATTTTCATTCTTACAAATACTCAACCACCATTGAGTGGATTCCCACTCATTCTTTACACACCACGGCTGGTGGTTAGCCTCTCAACTTGTAATCCGCTGTGCCACCAGGCCTCCTCTGACATGCGTCAGGACTTCATTTCTCTTAAGTCTGAGTACTATTCTGTTGTGTGCACCTTGGAGATACCACAGGCTTGGTCCAATACATTAAAATGAGTAACATGCATTTTTTTGGCTACCCAGTGCATATATACAAGTAGACAGCCTCAGCTTTGTCCCAAGAGGTGGTTAGTGGGCTCGAACTGCTGACCTCGTGATTGGCAGCTCAGTGCATGACCCAACACTACCAAGTTCATTCTTCACTAACTATTAATCAAAATATCGGGAATATGCACAGTATGTGGATGAATCCTGAGGCAGACACGCCCCCTTGCCCCTATACCCCCGTGGAGCTCAGAGCCTAGGGAGAAACGTGGCAATCCACAGACGCACGAGTAAACACAGTCATTAGGAGTGCACGCTGGGCTAGGAGCTGTCGCAGAATGCAGTGAGAAGCATAATGCCCGAATGCTGACAGTCCCCTTGCTCCACCCTAAGGCCCAGTCGTCTGAGTCACCCACGTGCCCCTGCACACAGTAGGCGCTCAGTACGTGATGTGCAAATAAATACACGGGTGACAGCGCTGCCCAGGGTAGGTCGCTTGCTTCTCCCAGGTCGCAGCAGATGGGGAGTGAGACGGGAGGGTGTACTGGGAGGACAGTCCGGAAGCACCCTCTTTTAAATTTCACCCACTCCTCTCCCTTTCGGCTCATTTTCTCCTCCTCGGCGTTTTCAGCTGCTCGTTCTGTTCTCCAAAGCCTGTTTCCCCGAGCAGAATGCAAACGCCACCGGGGCGAAGATTCTGGTCTGCTTTGTACACTTCCCAGCGCCTGGAGCAGTGCCTGACACCTGCAGGGTGAATGAACTAGGACTGATGCATGGGCGGGGCTGAGGCGCTTGGGTCGGGTCCAGGGGAGGGGCGTGGCCCCAGGGCGTAAGGGCCCTTGGAGGCGGAGCTAGGCGGGGGGAGGAGCCTGAGGCCGGAGTCTTCCTAAAGCTCCCTAAAGCGTTCCCGAGGCTGATTACGTTAAGGGCGGTGCCACTAGGAGGCGCAAGGTCAAGTTTAGGATGCGAAAGGAGGTGGAGCCGTGCATAACGTTGGGGGCGGGCCTGTCTAAAACATGGCCAATCAGGAGGAAGATCTGAGCTGAGGGCGGGGCAAAGGCGAAGTAAGGGTAAAGGGGCGGGGTGAATCTGGGCGGGGCAGGCAGAGGGCGGGGCCAGGCCAGCATCTCAGCTCTCCAGGGTCTTAGAGAGCTCCGGTCCCGCAGGTCTTCCTCACGCCACTCAGGCGCGTCCCCGGCCGGCCCGGAGCAGGGTGCCGCAGGACTGAGGGTCCCTAGCCAGGCGGCCGCGCTCGGGACCCGTCCCAGGCGCCGCTCTCCGAGTCGGGCGGCCTCGGGGCCTCGACGAGCTCAGCTGGGCCGCCCTGACGCCCGGGGCACTGGTTCCAGGCTGCATCCTCCGGGGGCTCAGAGGACAAGGTGAGCGGTGCTGAGGGGCCTGTGTGCGCTTTCGTGTGTGAGAGTGTGCATGCATGTGCGAGAATATGAGTGTGCGTCTATGTGTGCACACTTTTGTGTGCGGGATGTATGTGTGCGTGGGACTGTTGTACGTGTGTGTGTGCGTGCGTGGGTGTGCATGTGTGCATGAACGTCTGTGCGCACCAGGGGATTGTGTGTGTGCATGTGAGCGTGCACACCTATCATGAATGCCTGCAGGGGTGTATCTGTGCGTGTATACATGTGTCTGCATGAATGTGCGTGTGAGTGTGGGGTGTCTGTGTGCATACATATCTGTGGGTACTGGGGGGTTGTGTGTGTTTTGGGGAGGCAGAGTGCATGTGCAAAGTTCATTGTTGTGCAGGGGAGGACCTGCCTGGGAAGGAAGTGTGCGTGTGAGATTTGGGGAGCTCTGTGTGTGTGCTGGGGTGCCTTGGCTGTGCTATAGCGGGCTAGGTGTCTCGGTGTGCTGGGATGCGTGCGGAAGTGCACGTGGGTGCATGAGGGTTTCAGGGTTGCATTCTCAGCAAGCTGCAGAGGGGTGGGGATGGGGGTCCCTGAGTGGGGAGAGGTGAGGAAGAAGGGAAGTTTGGAACACTGACTGAACTGGTTTGGGGGTCTGTCCTGCAGTCATTCTGGGATTATTTCCAGCACCACTCCCCAACTGCCCCCTTCCCCCTCCACTGTTGGGCCTGGGAGGTGTGTAGGTGACAGAGGGGGGCAGGGCAAGGGCAGTCCCTTATCAATGACCTGCTCCTAGGTCAAGTGCTCCGTTGCCTGGCCTCGCAGAGCCCCAGTGAACATGGTGCAGAAGTATCAGTCCCCAGTCCGCGTCTACAAGTACCCCTTCGAACTCGTCATGGCGGTGAGTGACCTAGCCCGGCACCCTCAGGTGACTTTGGGGAGAGGGGCGGCAGAGGACCCTGGACCCAGGTCAGAAAGTTTACCGAACTAAGTCAGCTGCACCGCGGTGTTCAGCAGACCTGGCCGGTCCGACTTCTAACCTGTGACCCTTCTAATCAACGATAGCAGTAAATACAGGAGCCCTGGTGACGGTCGCAATGGCTAAGCGGCTAACAGAAAGTCGGGGGACTTGAATCTTCCAGGGGTGGGGGTGGGGGTTGGTCAGAAGACCTGGTGATCTGTATCTGTAAAGGCACGGTGGGGTACACACTGGGGTGTAAGCTGCAAGGTCAGAGGTTCAAGCCCATCAGGAGAAAGAGGAGGCTGGCCGCTCCTGTTAAGACTGGCTGAGGAGCCTAAGGAGCAGTTCTGCTCTGTCCTGTGGGGTCACTCACGACGTGTCAGAATCGAATGATGGCAGCGGCTTGGGTTTGTTTGGGCTGCTTTATGAAGTGGAGGCTGAAGGAGCCCGGTGGAGTCCGGGCTAGGTGTTGGCCTGCTAGCCAGAAGGCCGGCTGTGGGAACCCACCAGTGGCTCTCAGAGAAGAGCCCGGCAGTCTGCTGCCCTAAAGGCCCCTAAGACAGGGCAGACCCCTCCATCCTGGGGGTGGCTCTCAGTTGGAAGTTGAGGTAAACCAAGGCTTGGACAGGTGACCTGGGAACATACAGCCGGAGCTCAGACCCAGATGAGTGGGGAGATGGGGGTGGTGTGTGTGTGGGTGAACCACGAACCCCACAGGGGTTCTCCTGCTCTTCCCACCCCCTTCAACAGTAGAGAGGGTGTGAATGCACAGTGGGTGCCTCTCCCTGCTTGCTGGGTCTGCTTGCTGGAGGGTGCTGCTTCCGGAGGCCCTGGCAGCTGCCTGCCCATCTCAGGGTAACAGAGCTGTGGGCACTCTGAGGCGGTGCTGAGCTCAGCCACAGCGTCTCATTGGGTTGCTCCTTAAATGCTGAGGCATGGGCGGTGGGGGCGGGGCTGGTGGTAAGCAGCCTGGCTGACCCCACCTGTGGGTGCCTCCAATCGGGCTGGAAAGAGACCCAGACTGTGAGTGGTTTTCTGGGTTCACTCTGAGTGGGTATGTGAGCACAACTAGCCATAGGAGACCCAGAGTCTGGCAACATTTGCCCAGAAACAAAGCTCTTGGGGGGCAGGAGAGAAGGACAAAGGGAAACGGGGGAGGGGGTTGGGAAGCGGGCAGGGAGGAAGTGGGATGCCAGTTCGGGTCACAACATAAAACGTGCACGAATGGTTGAGGGGGGAGTGAATTTGTTCTGCAAACTCTCACCTCCGCCACTATACGAAAACCAGACCAACTCCCACACAGAGACGTTGTGGGACCTGCCGGTATTGCACGGGAAGGCAGTTGAAGGTCAAAGATGGGTCCCAAGGCCCCGGGGCCCCCTGGGTCCTTGCATCCTGGGACAGGCAAAAGGTTCCACCCTCTGCCTCTCAGAGCCTTGCTTACCTTCTTGAGAGACTGGGTCAATGCCAAGGGGCTCTTCTGAGGGGTAAAGTGATATTTTGTGGTGCCCCTGGCTCAGAACCTGGCACACAGTAGGTGCCCCTGAATGCTGTGGTCCTTGTCATCAGCTGCTATCAAATCCACGGCCACTCGTGGCCTCCTCCTCTGTGTAAGAGGAGGCCTGCACTCCATAGGGTTGCCAGTGACTTGCTTTTCGGAAGTGGACTTACCTTGTTAACCAGGAAACTCCACGGTGGCCTCAGAGCTGTTCTTGCTCCACTTCTCAGCAAGATGTTCCCAGGTTAGAACCCATGGGAGATGCCCACCGTCTTGCTGGGAATCTTCCTCTTTTTGGATGACCCGCTACTTCACTCAGCAGGTAGGTCTGAAGGACATCTCGCCGTCTTTGCTTTCCAAGGAGCATTCTGGCTATACTTTTAAGGTGACCAGACGTCCCGCTTTTGGCGGGACAGTCCCAATTTTTGGTGTTTTAAAAAAGTCCCCAGTTTTGGAAAGAAAGCATGAAAAGCTAGGGAACGGTCTGTTTGGTCCATATAGACCAAATTTTTCATCAAGACACCCCCCACCCCACCCCCGTCAATGTCTCGCTCTAAATCTGGTCACCTTATCCAAGACAGATGCGCTAGTTTGTCTCGTCATGCTCACAAACCTATGCGTTGATTCTGCCTCCTAGGACCCTGTAGGGCAGTAGAACTGCCCCTGTGGGTTTCTGAGACTGTATCTCTTTCTCCCAAAGAGCAGCGGGTGCTTTTCAACTGCTGACCTTGCAGTTAGCAGCCCCAGCCACCAATGTAACATAAATATGATGCCCCCCAGGGCGCCTGGGGGTACTCGGTCCTCCTTGTCAACCACCATCCACACACATCAGTTCTCCTGCCATCTTTCTTTCCATGGCCAACTTCCACGCGCCTATGAGGCCGCTGAAGAGACCGTGCCTTGAGCCAGGTGCACCTTGGTCCTCAAAGCCACAGCTGTGGTTTCACAAGCTCTTTAGCAGCCAATTGCCCAATGATTCCGCTCTGGACTGCTCCTTCGGGGGGATCTGTCCCGGGGTTCGTTTTACTTGTAAAACACTATCCTGTACAACTTCCCGTGTTCCTCTTTTTATCCGGAAGCATCTAAGACTGTATTGAGAAGGCTACAGAACCGATTCAACGGCACCGAACAACAATCTACTCTCATTCCCAGACTGGAAGAAGACTGGAGAGGTAGTTTATGAGCTGCTTGTTCCAGCTGAGGGTTGACATGCAGCTAATTCCCGAGTTACAGCACAGCACTTCTGGCTCCCTTTTTCTTTGGGGGTACATCTTTCCCTTAGCAATAGAGGCCCTGGTGGTGTCGTGGTGACACATCGCATCTGCAAGGCCAACAGTTCAAAACCGCTGGCTGCTTCTTAGGAGAAAGAGCTTTCTACTCTCTTAAACAGTTACAGCCGGGCCCTCGGGCGGGCAGCTCAGCTTGGCGAAAGCTCTTGGTGCCCCTCAGTCGGCAGGCATCCCGCAAGCACCCTCTCACAGCCAAGATGCTCAAAAGGAAGGTCAGGTTGGAAGGGGCAGTGAGGGAGGAGCCCAGGAGGAGATGGGCGAGGTTGTCCGAGAAGCCTGCACCTGCTGAAGTGCAGCGGAAGCCACCAACACACAGCAGGAAAGAGCCAATCTGCAGACAGAAAGTGCAAGCCCAGGGAAGGGGAGCAACGGAACCAGCACGCAGGCGCTGAGCCAGAAAGGAAAGGCTTACCTGCCGGCAACGGAGGAAGGAACAACGAGGAGTCCTGCCTCTGATGGAGCAGGAGGAAAAGAAGCCAGGTCTGATGAACGGTCGTCTCCCGTGTCTGATCAGTGGGCCTGTTTCCTCCCTTCTTGTCCAATCCAGAGGAAGAGGCTTATCAACTATTTTGTAAATGCAAGTTTTTAGTAGCTTAAAGGAGGAAATCCCACTTTGTCCCATTTTTTAAAAGTACGAGTGCTTTTTTTTCTTTTAAGATGTGTAATACTTTTCTGGTTGTTCACTTTATTTTGGTATAATTAGAAAATAGTGGGATGTTGGATTGTGGGAAGATTTGACCGTCTTGGGTGTCAGGGCAACATTTCATGGGATGGGGGAAGTTTTTGTAACCCTAATACAAAACATACTTTAATGGCAATGTGGAGTCACTGTCATGCATTTGTGTGACTAGAGTAGTTACATTTTTATTTCCATGTTGTTGTTGTTTAAATAGAATTGGGTCTGAAAGCCATTCTGTCACCTTGGCTTCCTTAGCACCCTGGTGTGCATTCGGTAACCCCTTTGGTCGTGGGAGTCCAGTTTTCCTGATAACTTGGTTACATGCCATGATGGGTTGAACATCTGAGTGTGTAGAGTGTGTGTGAATTAAATTGTGAATTAGTGGGACTTATGATGTGACAGCTTACCAACATTTGAAGATAATGGTACTTGATAACCTCTTTTAAAAATTGCCTCCAAATTTAAAGTGGGAAAGTGGGAAAATCACTGGAATTTAAAATCAAATTGTATTTGCCTGCCATTTTAGTTTTTGGTACATGCATTAAGAATTGTGTACAAATTGTTCATAATGTCTCTGTATTGATCTCAAAACAGCCAATAAAATATCAGTTGCAAACCAACAAACAAGCAGTTACAGTCTCAAAACTCACAGGGACAGTTCTACCCTGTCCTGTAGGGTCACTATGAGTTGGTATCAACTCAATGGCTGCGAATTCGAATTTTCCCTTAGTCATATGCACCACATAGGATGTTCAACTCTGAGAGCTTTTATATGTAACCTTTCCAGACCCCCGAGACAAACTAACATCAGATGTTCAGTGATAAAACTCACTGCTGAGGAGCTGATACCAAGGGCTCAAGTAGAAAGCAAATGTTTGGAGAATGATGATGGCAACAAATGTACCAATGTGCTTGACACGATGGATGGATTGTGATAAGGGTTGTACAAGCCCCCAATAAAATAATTTTTTAAAATAATAAAAATAAATAAACTCCAAAGCTAAAAAATCCAATAAACCTCCCTGCCATAGCAGGCCTCTAAGACAGGGTAGAACTGCCCCTGTGGGTTTCAGAGACTGTAACTCTTTACAGGAGTAGAAAGCCTCATCTTTCTCCCTGGGAACAACTGATGGTTTCGAACTGCTGACCTTGCCCATGGCAGCAGTTCCCAACATGTAACCACTGTGTCACCACACTGGCCATAAAAGGTAACAATAATATAAAGGGACAGGAGGTATTTGGCTTACATCAAAGTCAATTTCTGACGGTCCTGGGAATGGACCCTTGTGGTAGTAAGCTGGGGGCACTCCGGTACAAGCTGATGGCTTCGGTGAGAAAACAGTGTTTTTAACTAAGCATCCTCAGTAACTGGGGCCCTGGTGGTGGAGTGGTTGCCTGGTGGGCTGCTAACCAGGAAGTCAGTAGTTTGAAACCACCAGCCGCTCAGTCAGAGAGAGATGAGGCTTTCTGCTCT